TTTTTCTTGCTTCTGCACCAGTCATGATGTTTCTAGCAGCAAAATCAAAACATAAACCCAAAAATATTTCAAGAGTTTCATTTTTAAAAGTAAAATTATTTTTATAATCTGCATTTATAGAATCAAGGAATAATTTGGGTTGGAAGGGACCCTTAAGATCATCTAGTTCCAAGCCCCCTACCATGGGCAGGGAACTTTCTACTAGAGCAGGTTAGTCAGAGCTCCATCCAGCCTAGTCTTGAACACCTCTGGGGACAGGGAGTACTCAGCATCTCAGTGCAACCTGTTCCAATATCTCACCATCCTTATAGTAAAGAATTTCTTCTTAATATCCAATCTAAACCTACTTTCCTTCAGCCTAACACCGTATGTCCTATCACTACATGCCCATGTGAAAGTCCCTCTCCAGCCTCCTGGAAGGCTGCTATAAGGTCTCCCTGAAGCCTTCTCTTCTCTGGGCTGAGCAATGCTAACTCTTTCAGCCTGTCTTCGTAGAAGAGATGCTCCAGCCCTGTGATCCACTTAGTGGCCCTTCTCTAGTCTTGTTCCCCATCCTTCTTTTGTTGGAGGCCCCAGATCTGCACACAGCACTCCAGGTAGGGTCTCACCAGAGCAGAGAAGAGGGGGAAAATCACCTCCATCAACCTGCTTTTGATGCAGCCCAGAATACAGTTGGCTTTCTGGGCTGCAAGCACACATTGCCGAGTCATGATCAGCTTTTCATATACAAACACGTCCAAGTCTTCTTGAGGCTAACCTTGATCCATTCTCCACCCAGCCTGTACTTGTGCTTAGGACTGCACTGACCCAGGTGCAGGATCTTGTACTTGGCTTTGTTGAACTTCACGGGTTTGCGCAGGCCCAGCTCTGTGAAACACTGGATTGTTGGCTCAGACCAACTCAAGTGTGTGTGTGGGAGGGGAAGGGGCACGTCAAATTTCAGAAAGGTGAGGTGATGTCCTGTTATTCCCCAGCCCTTTGGAGTCTCCTTGGGTAGCCCTGGAGCAGCTGTCAGTTAAAGGCAGCCCAGGAGCACAGCCCACACCACACCCTGGAGCCCTGTCCCAGCCTCAGATCGCCTGGCATGCTGGAGGTCCTGCCTGGGGGTGTTGGGGTGTGGCCACAGAGGGGGCAGAGCAAACAAAAGAAACAACATGTGCTCTCCATATGTTCGATCCCTACCTTCTGGACATATAGAAGCCAGACTTGCTCTAGATTCTGGGTGGTAGTTATAATTCTCTGTTTTCTGTCTCTTTCTTTACTTCTTCTTCTCCTAATCTCCTTTCTTAATATTTTGGGTAACTTAAAGCTGGATGGGTTGGATTTTGCTAAGTTGTATAGGTTAGCATGTGCTAAGTCAATGCTTTGTGAAATGCTTTATTTTTACCAAGGAAACTTTTACCAAGTTTCCTTATTTTCTAAACAACCATCTTACAACCTCTCAAGCCTATCAAGGCCCCTCTGGATGGCATCCCTTCCCTCCAGTGTGTCAACTGCACCACACGGCTTGGTGTCATTGTCAAACTTGCTGAGGGCGCACTCGATTCCACTGTCCGTGTCACTGACAAAGACGTTAAACAGTGTGGGTCCCAGTATCTACCCCTGATGATGCCACTCACTGCTCTCCACTTGGACAGTTAACTGTTGACCACAAGTCTTTGAGTGTGACCATCCAGCCAATTTTATATCCACTGAGTGATCTGTCCATGAAATCCATGTCCTTTTAGTTTACCGACAAGGATGCCATGCAGGACAGTGTTAAATGCTTGGCACAAGTCCAGATAGATGATGTCTTGTTGCCCTTCATTCATCCACCACTGTGGTAATCCCACCTTAGAAGGTCATCAAATTTGTCAGGTATGATTTGCCTTTAGTGACGCCACGTTGGCTGTCACCAATCACCTGTTTATTTTCCATGTACCTTAGCATAGTTTCCAGGAGGATCTGCTCCATGATCTTGCCAGGCACTGAGGTGAGACTGACTGGCTTGTAGTTCCCTTTCTTATTTCCCTTTTTCAAAATAGGGGTTATGTTTCACCTTTTCCAGTCAGTGGGAACTTCACCAGATTGCCATGACTTCTCAAATCTGATGGATAGTGGCTAACCACTTTCTTGGCCAGTTCTCTCAGGACTCATGGATGTACCTCATCAGGTCCCATGGACTTGCGCACCTTCAAATTCCTTAGATGTTCTCAAACCCAGTCTTCACCTACAGTGAGCAGTTCTTCATTCTCACAATCCCTGCTATCACCTTCTGCAACTCAGGCGTTGTGTCAGGAGCACTTGCTGGTGAAGACTGAGGCAATAAAGTCGTGAGTGCCTCAACCTTTTCCATGTCCTGGGTAACTAGGTCTCCCATATACTTCCTGAAAAGGACCCACATTTTCCCTAATCTTTCTTTTATCACTGTTGTAGATACTCTTGTCCTCGGCCAGATTTACTTCTACCACTGCTTTAGCTTTCCTAACCACATCCCTGGCTGTTCAGACAGTTTCTCTGTATTCCTCCCAGGCTACCTTTCCCTGCTTTCACCCTCTGTAAGCTACCTGTTTTTGTTTAAATTTGTCAAGGAGCTACTTGTTCATCCATGCAGGCCTCCTGGCGTTCTTCCTTGATTTTCTCTTTATAGGGACGCATTGCTCTTGAGCCTGGAGGAAACAATCCTTGAATATCATCCAGCTCTCTTGGTCCTGTTTTTCTTTCAGGGCTCTATCCCATGGCACTCTACCAAAGAGATCCTTGAAGACACCATTGTCTTCTCTCCTGAAGTCCAGGGTAGTGTTTACAAGCTGTCTTTCATCTGACAGTCCTCTTATCTTTACTGATTATTGCAAAATCATATTATCTTTTATATTATAAATTGCAAAGCATGTTTTTAGATGCAAGGAGGGATCTTTCCTTATTGATGGGATTTAATCACTGGAGTCTTTATCCCAGTTGCAGACCATGCGAGAATATAATTCAAAGAATCAAGCATACAAGAAAAATACTTGGGCACAAAGTTAGATGATGATCATTTTGACAGCTATATCCTGCTGCATGTAGAGTGAATAAGACCCAAATATTGTGACCCACACTGCTTTTATTTATTCTCTGGTGATATATGTGAAGGATCTTCATTAGCTAATGAAATTAGAGTACTCAGATAATACTAGCTGTAATTTCTTTTCAGATTTTAGCTCCCTGAACATTCATCCCAATGTATCATTTTGTGTTTCACAGGCAGTAGGACATATACCCATATACAGCCAGAGAAATTTAGGGTGCACTCTTTGTGCATAGCTGTAAATCACAATGTTTGAGATCAAGTATGTACAACTTTATTTTAAACAGGATTGCTGGGAAGATGAAACAGCCTTCAGCAAACATAACTCAGAATTTCCTCCAGGGGAACTGCTTGCACTATTTCTCTCAAACATTCTCAGATCTTCATCTTTGTCTGACCAGGCTATTCAATCTTCACACTACAGATTTCCAGTAAAGTCTTAGTGAGTCCCTCATATTCAGTTTGTTTGTGAGTGTTTTCCCCTTGCCAGTCCCCAGGACTGTATTCAGTCCTGGCCAGTATGGTAAGGTCCAAGGGAAAATTCCTGTGTGTATTTCTACCATGGGGCTCAAAAGCTTTCCCTCTGCAATAGCTTTAGTGCTAAATGTGCTCACTTTGTCCGTACAAAACATCTCATAACAGTTCATTATCCTTCTTTTTCAAAGATGCTAAATTTGCATGAAAATTTCCACAGAGCACTGGAGAGGGGTCTACCTGGGAACAATCAGGCAAATCCAGAAAAAGCTAAAAAGTTATTTTACTTCTTCTGTACCTCAAATCCATCTTGCAAGAAAATGTATAGTGCTCCCGTGTGGCAAGTATTCACTGGCTACAAGAAAACACCCCCATAAGTAATTTTGTTCTGAGTGCAATTTCCTTATTCATGTTATAGCATTCATGTATATTTAATAGTCAAACCAGAAAGACAAAACTATGTTTGTGACTCTTCCTGCAAATGTGGAATTTAATGAAGTCTAAGGACAGCTCAAGGAGAAAAAAGAATTTTTGAGATTTTTCTTTAGTTTTTGTTATGACCCTGGGTCTCTCTACTCTGAAAATAAGATTTAATCAATACATTATCAGGGCTGTGGAAAAGTCGAGTTAGCCCACCTTTTACTTACACAAAAGATGAAGTGATGACTCACAAAAAAAGGAAGAAGTAATCACCCTCAGGGACACTTTAAAAAATAAGGAACAGGTTTAAACTAAGAAATATGTAGTCATCCAACAGCTCTGCACATGTTCTACATAGCTTTTACTAAACACCAGGCAAGGGGAAAGTAAAAGTCCCAGCTGACATTAAGAGAGCAATTCGCAAAGTAGTTCTTCCTTGGGGAGGCTGATCACAGAATCACAGCCACATGCCAGTGAGGAAAGATGCTCCATCACGGGACAGTTCACAGATCCCATGTTAGTCTCCTGTTTCAGGACATCAGTGTCTCTAGGGTAAATTTTGCCCCCGTCCACTTTGTATGCCTGGAGCACATGTTCCAGGAAATGTGCATGTGCCTAGTGTTTGAAAAGGGAGCCATCATTTTCTGGACTTCTTGGATTGGTAATGTGTTTCCTTGCTATTAATTTTTACTGATGAGTTTAATAGCTTAGTCTAGATTTTACCACAGATATACAGCAGTTGAAACAGCACAATGAAGACAAAGCGACCTCACTGTGTTTCCTGGAAAAGGAGAGTCCTCATGAGTTTTTCAAGGAATTTATTGTCTTTATTTCTGTCATGATTCATCCACTTTCTGTACCTTTTCACAGGACAGTACTGGATCTGTCTTGAGCTACTTAGCAGTAGAGGCTCAGAGACCCAACTGTTTGCTAAGCACTATTCCTGAAAGAAATCTTCAATACCTGTGGACAAGAGGTGCCCGCACTCCAGCCAAATGGCTTAAAACACAGGCTCGGGGCTTTGGTTGGTACAAAAAAACTATTATATATATGTTTTATGGTTTTATCCAATCTTAAGAAAGGAAGAACGTTGCAATGAGGTCCTACCAGAGCACAGAAGACAAGATCTGCCCAAGAGTACTGAGGCACCTGCCAGAAGAGTTCATCAAGACACTTTCCATCCTTTGCCAGCAGTCCTGCCTAACTGGGGATGTCCCAGTGGACTGGAGGTTAGCAAATGTGACATCCATCTACAAGAAGGGTTGGAATGAGGATCTGGGGAACTACAGGCCTGTCAACCTGACCTTGGGGCTGGGGAAAGTCATGAAGCATACTTATGTATGCTTTGAATGCCATCATGCAATATGTAGAGCACAACCAAGGGATCAGGCCCAGCCAGCATGGGTTTGTGAAAGGCAGATCCTGCTTGACCAGCCTCATCTCATTCTAAGACAAATCGACCTGCTTGACTGAATGAGGGAAGGGCTGGGGATTTTCTCTGCCTGGACTTTAGTAAAGCTTTTGACACTACTTCCCACAGTGTTCTCACAAAGCACATCCAGAGAAGAGCAATGGAGCTAGGGAAAGGTCTAGAGCACAAGCCTGACGAGGAGCAGCTGAGGGAACTGGGGTTGTTTAGCCTGGAGAGAAAAAGCTCAGCGGAGACCTTATCATTCTCTACAACTACCTGAAAGGAGGTTGTAGCCAGGTGGGGATCAGTCTCTTCTCCCAAGTAATAAGCAACAGGACAAGAGGAAATGGCCTCAAGTTGCATCAGGGGAGGTTTAGATTGGATAGTAGGAAAAATTTCTTCACCAAAAGGGTGATCAGGCACTGGAACCGGCTGCCCAGGGAAGTGGTAGTCACCATCCCTAGAGGTATTTAAAAGATGTGTAGATGTGGCACTGAGGGAGGTGGTTTAGCGGTGGATTTGGCAGTGCTGGGTTAACAGTTGGACTTGGTGATCTTAAAAGTCTTTTCCAACTTGAACAATTCTATGATTCTATGAAAACAGCAATAATAATTAGTTTCAGAGGGAATTGCAAATAGCAGTGACCTTTCCGCATTTAAAGTGCTGTCTTCACACTTAGATCTAAGAGGACAAACAGAGCAAATTCAAGTGTCTAAGTCTGCACAAAATCCCAGCAGGATTTGGCACAGTCCCACACAGCTGCCAGCTGGAGATGCCCCACTGCTGACAGAAGGGAGGCAGACACTGTAATGGGACCCTGGGAAGGGTCTGCAGGACACAGCAACCACCAGAACACATGGCAACTTTGGGAGCTCACCATGAGCCAAAGTCATCCCAATATTTACAAAAACCTTTAATACACCTGTAACCCTAGCTGGGAATAAAGATGCAAAAATTCTTCATTTGAATGAAAGGAAGAAATGTCAGTAATGCAAATGGCCTGTAAAAATCTCAGAAACAAAGTAAATTGCTAATAACTATCATAATGAGTTAAGAAATGTACAAAAGTATCCAGATTTTGAGTGAACACTGCACTTTGTCACAATGTATTACACTTGTTTAAAAATCTGAAGCCAAAATGAAGTTACATCATTCGAATAGGGAAAAACCTCATCTCTTAAGCAGTACATGTACCACAGTAAAAGTGCTGGTTTAATTGGGGGAGATTAGAAACTGTCTGAAAAATAAAACAATGTAAATGTTACAGGAAGATCCATACAAACTACTGCACAGATTTCCTTGTATCTAATGATTGCTGAGATGAACTCAAAGAGGCAGCAATCCACCTACATCTCAGTGGCCAGGTAATCCACTCTGTGCTGTAAAACGGGGACTGTCTTTTTCACTGGCATCGATGCCATGGCAGAGATTTCACAATTGATTTTTCACAAGCTGTTAGACACAATGCTTTGGAGTGCATACAGGCTCTTCCAGGGAAAGCATGGAGCTATATCTATGGGTGCTATCCCAACATCCTGCTGCGATTGCAAGAATGGATCTTTCTCACCTGTATACACCTGTTACAGTTAGAGGAGAGTGAGAAAGAAAAATTGCTAATTTTTTTTCTTTGACAAGATCAATCTGCTTTTCTTTTCATATTTAAGTGTTTTGGGCTTTTTTTTAATGTACACACACCCACAAGCCAGCTGCTAAGAGACATGCCCCGTGCAGAAAGAACATGCTTCACACAGGCATACAGCAGCTGTAGTTCTGCAGGTTGTGAAAGAACAAATGCACAACTGGGTCATGAAGTGCAAGCCTGCAAATTTCCCATTTCAAATAGACAGCAATCAAAATGTGCCCCTTAAGGATTCAAATGTGCTGAAGCCCACACAGGTGAACAAAAGGGAAATAATCCTTCCATTTTGATGGTCAGTTTTTACACCTCAAAGCCCACCAGCATGCTCTAATTGAAACAACTATTCTTGGGCCACATAAAAAGAGCAATTCTTCTGGTGAAACTGTGAAGATACCAGGTACAGAGAGCCTGCACTGCCACTTACATGCACTGACAGGCAATGAAAGCAAGTCAATTGAAGAGGTCACTGACTCCAACAGTGGTCTTGCCCCTTGGAGTGCAGTGGTCACATAGCTTGTCCCAAAAATATTTTGGACAATGGAATTATCATGTGTATTCAACCAATCCCTAAATAAGAAATAAAAAGTAAAAAAATAAAATATTTTTTAAAAATTAAAAGAAAAATAAGAAGGGAGTATGATTGTCAGTCTAACCAACAACATGAATATTCATGGTGTCATCACCCATCTCTTATCCTGGGATTGACCGAGGATACTTCTTACAGGACAGCTGCACAGGGACAGCAGAGTTTGCTTTTAGTATAAATGTCCTGTATTATACAGAAGGCCAGAGGCCACTGAGCAGCACCCACTTTGAATTAAGATGACATCTTGTCTTCTGCACCAGCTGCAAATGGAGTTGTTGTTTATCTATCCAGCATGTTTATCTACAGCTACCTTGAAAAAAAAACATAAGGTTTTGACATGCTGCTTGAAACAACCTGGCAGGGAGGATGAGCAGGGAGAGGAGGGATGCAAAGAGCACTGAAAGGGAGTTGAAGGCTCTGTCTGGACCTGCAGCTCACCTGAGGCCGTGGGAGAAATCTTTCCTCTTTGAGGTGATTCGGATCTTGAGCACCACTGTTGCAGCCCAGTAGTTGGTTTCAAGGAGAACTGAGTTTGACAGGGAGACATTTCCCCTCTTGTGTGGCTCTAATTCTGCTGCTGGCAATCCTTTTGGTGTCATGTTTGAGCAGGGAAAGTTTGGAGGCCAAAGGCAGCTTTGGATTATGTCATCCAGCAGCATATGTTGGCTGTTCATACTGTCCATTGCACATTCCTGTCCATTCATATTACCCACCTGGGGCAGCCAGGTTCATTTTAGTCATCCCAGGAGTGTACACAAGCCTCTCAGGCTTTACTAGAACTGGTGGATCAGGGCACATACTCCTTAAAGCTCTCAAGATTTGGTGTGCACCCATTCAGTCCTGCCCTATGAACCCCCATCCTTCTCTCAAGAACTCCCCACTTTTCTAAGCCACCCTCTCATGCCTCAAAGAGGACTCCACATTCTCCTTAAACAGCTCTTCTGTTATCCTTTTTACAAATTATGTAGTCATTAGCTGGGGTTGATATAAGTGGTATCCTTGCAGAGCAGTGTAGAAGTTACTTCACTCAAATGCCACAGCACCTGCCCCAGTCTGGACATAGCAACTCCAAAGTTTCTTCCTATTTTTATGACACCTGGAAATGGTAAGTTCTTCTCCATATTTCCTCCCATTCTCACTGCTACGCAGGAGTGTTTAACATCCCTCCTTCATAGCATTATCAAGCTCACTGCACACTGCCTGTCTGATGTAAGTCTGGTGACAGGGACTGGAGCTCAGCACATGCAAGGGGAGGCAGAGATCTGGGTTTGTTCAGCCTTAAGAGGTTCAACAGAGGAAACAGAGCCTGAATCATCTCAGGGGCAGATGGTGATGAGACAAGAGGCAATGGACTCAATGGAAGTCCTAATTAGACAGGAAAAAAATCCTTCCTGTAGAAATGGAAAACTTGACTGGACAAGGCCCAGGGCAACCTGATTCAGTTGGATCCATGTTGAGTGGAGGCTGAACTAGTTGATCCACTTCTGATTTAAACTATTCTGTGAGTCTATGATTTCATTTACCACTTCAAAAACTGTATATTACCAGACTCCACTGGGAAAGAGCCTAATTAAGAGCAGCAGCAGAACAGCCAATGGGAGATGTAGAGGTATTGTAATTGCATTTGCACTGCTGTCAGCAATGGAGCATATTCTATAGTAAATATGACAAAATAGGGGCCCCCTGGTGGTCTAGTGGTTAGGATGCGGCGCTCTCACCGCCGAGGCCCGGGTTCGATCCCCGGTCAGGGAATTCCCCCGGGCAGATGGAGCTCGTCAAGCCCTGTAAGGGCATCCATCTAAGAGAAGGTCACTCTAAACAAACCTACGTCCTGAGGACCTCACTGCCATTGTCCAAGCTCGCTTGGCCCCGGTAGATGAACCTTATGATTAAAGGGTGGGCTCAGTTCAGCGCATGCTGTGTCTCACCTAAAAAATCCATTGCGCAGGCTGGAAAGGTAAAAGACCTTTCCCAAATCTTCATTCGCGAAGACTGGCCATACTTACTTACTTACTTATGATAAAATAGCAATATAAAGTCCAATTTATGAGGTTGCGAGGAATCATGAACCATATGAATGGATTTTACTCATCATTGTGCTTCTTGATGTTTTACACAGTGAGAAAAGCATGAGCCTTTAGTAAAGGCTAAAGAAAATTATGCCTGTCCTGTAACAGTTGTGTTCCTGTTCAGACATTTTTCATCTATAATATTACATTTTGCATTCTCTAGGGCTGTGCTTGAGGTTCACCACAACATTACTGGTGTTTTTCAGAGTTTCAGGTTACTAAGACAGCAACAGTTTTTGTAATTCATACTTTGCAATGCACTGCTTGCTTGTACTTTGTTTATTAATTTTCTATGGCTCATAAAAAATTTAGAAACTGTATTGATAAGGGTCTTGTATGGTTAAAAAAGCCTTCAGGAGTTATGTTGATAGAAAAAAATACTTAATAATATTAATATTGATATAAAAAAGCATTCTATGATTTGTTGATATAAAAAGCCTCTTAAATATTTTACTGAAAAAATCCACCACTGTGAGATTTTAATGAACATAACATGAAAAGGCTCTGAACATAACCAACTGGAATCGATTTTCTGCATTAGTAACCTCAGTTACCCAAACGCAGGATTTTTTTTTCCAGAAAGCTGTGCAGCGCTCAAGACACAAGAAAGACATTTTTTACTCTGGCACAAGGAAGACCTCTGTAAGTGGAACAGGATGGGATCCAGGTGAGAAGCAGACAGTGGTAGAGCAGGTCTTGTCAGCCTAATAGGGAACAAGGGCATGAAAAAGGTACTTGTACTGTGTTGGGGAGCAGTGAGGGTGTCCAGAGAGGCATACCTGCTCAGAGTGACATCTGACCCTGGGAACAGGGAGCTGCTATTTGTGCATCTTTGGATGCAGTAATTATCATTTGCAACAGACACAAAAGTAAGCACAGTCATTTTTTTTCCACAGAGCCCTGTTGGCAGTAGTCAGCTTGGGGAGACTGTGGCACAAGCCTTTGGTGCTCTGGTTCATCTGCCTGGGCTCCAGCACCACAGTTGCTGCTGCAGACCCTTGGGAAGAGCTATAAATCCTGCTATTGTTGGTGACTCTTGTACAAGCACCTGCATCTAAGACCAAGGATGTAGGTTATCCACCAATGCTTATTTATGTCCTTCATTGCATGGGGTGGTGGTAGGAAAACAGCCTATTTTTAACCCATCCATAGGCCACTGAATTTTTTTATGCATGTTGCATTGCTTATATCCTTTCTGAATCACAGTTTGCCCTAGAAGCTGTTTATTTCACTGTTTGATTTTTAAGAGAGGAAACAAAGTGAAAGCAGCACCGAGCAGAGAACTACAGACTGTATATTGACCTTAGAGAGAAAGAGGGAATTTCAGGAGAAGACATCTTAATACTGTAGTGAACATTTTTAAAAGGAGACAATAATGCACATTAGCAGCAGAAATAAATTTCATTTATTTCCTCATAATTTCATTAGGAACTGGTATTTAGACAGGATAAATTCCTTGGGTAAACCCCTATAACACTTCCTTTTATTTGCTTGCATTACATGTTTTATTGCTCCAGGTTTCTCATCTACAAACACAGGGTGCTCAGAAATCAAGACAACTCAAAATAATGATTTAGCAGCATACTAATTTACATACATACAAATAGAATCATTCCATCACTTTAATCTATGAAAAAGAGGTTAGTTAAAAGCTTAGTGACTTATTTAATAGCTAATGCTACATGAGTAAGAAGAGTAGAAAAGTTTCTTACTTCTGACTTTGTCCCAAAGATTCCATCAAACAAAGGTATTTTCTTAACGATTAAAAAGCAAAATTAATGATCCATGTTATTGAGGCAATATAAGCTTCTCAACAGAGACTATTAATAGCTTCCCTGAGCCCAGGGCCTCACACAGTACTTGCCAAGCACCAACTGCCATGGGTCCCCCACTGCAAATCCATCACCCCCTCTTGGAAAAGAAATGCTGCCTCCCACAGCCCTGAACACAATCCTGCTAATAATGTGGAACTCAGAGATGGTGGCTGGGGTATGCAGGAAGCCTGTGGGGAAGTTTTGGGAGACCTGCAGAGTCCAGCAGGGTGAGGGGCTGGCACAGGCACACAGCCAACAGTCCTGGGAAAGCACCTGCTGCCCCACTCCTTGGTACAACAGGCTCCTTCCCACAGCTCCCAGCAAGACAAGACACAGTGCATAGGGTGTTTGTGAGAGGCAGTGCTGCCCAGTGGAAAAAGCAAGAGCAGGACCTATTCTTGGCTCTGCCGATGGCTAATTGTTCACTTTTCTTTCACCAGACATTTATCACCAGCTAAATGTGGTTAATTTTGTGAAATCCTTTGAGACCCCTTGACAAAAGGGGCTCTATGAGAACTAGATACTCAGCAAGTTCAATCCCATTTAAAATCAAGCCCCCCTTCCAGATTCCTCACGTGGTGTGCCTTGAATAATGATGTGCAGCCTCTCACACTGGTTTGTTCAATGGGTTGAATAAGTGAATAGGGACAGAACAAGGAAGCACTTTACTCATGATAGCAAATATGGTGACAAAGTACCATCCTCATGACAGCAGGAATGTGGTGGCCTTTTAATCTCACTGGCATTCCCTGCAATGCTGTCACCTTCTTTTACCTGCAGGCACTTAGCACAGTGAGGAAAAATATCCCATGGAAGAAAAACACTCAGAACAATATTGCATCCATTCTGCTCACTGAATTGAGGACTACCTGATCTAGTTGAAGATGTCTCTGCTAATTGTGGGGGGGGTGGACTAGATGACCTTTAAATGTCCCTTCCAACACAAACTATTCTATGATTCTATATAAGCAGATTATGACCTCTCCCTAGCACTGTTTACTGTAATAAAACAGAAGTTGAAGAGTTTCATTCTGATCCAGCACTTCCACCCATCTTTTTGACACGCTAGAAAATGGAGACTAAAGCACAGTTCTGAATCCACTGGAATTCTGAGGTGTTGCCACCATCAGAAAACCAAATAAAGGACACTTGCAGAAGGGTGCATCTTTTGGTTCCCTGTGAGTACAACCAACAAGGGACACTTTTGAAAGCACATTTTTTGAAAAGAATTTTTTTCTTCTTTAACAAAAACAGAAAATACAATGTGAGAAGCAGCTGAGAAGATGAGCCTCCCACTGTATACCACTGCATTTCTGGTGAAATCCTATGACTTCTTACGCACTTTCAGATTTATTACACATTATATTTTGAGTTCCACCTTATACTTGGCATTCTAAGACCTTTTTGTACAATAGAACAGATTAAATGGCAAAACATTTCTGAGCAAAAAGGGAAATACAATTCAATAATTGCTAAAAAATTGCTGTAATTTTAAGCTATAAAGAAAGAAATGGATAAATATTCAGCAGTGTTGGGAGAGAGAGCTAAAATTGAAAGCAAAACATGTGCCTAAATTTTCCAGCATTAGCACTTCCATCCTCTCTACAATACACTAAAGATAGAAGGCTCCTAGTGAGACAGTATTGAAGCAACACATCACAGTTCTGCCATCCTCAAAATAAAATAATATAAAGTCATATCTGTTTTCCCTAATTACTGGGATGGAAATGACTACATTGTGAATGCAATCCAGAGACTGATGAAGTGTCCTGCCTTCAAAATGTCGCTTTGTTGAAAACTTAATATTCTTTGGGTAAGTCTGTTGGGGGAACATACTCCATTTTTAGTAACATATGAAAACCTTCTTTTGTTTTCCCAATTGAATAAAATGTGAGGACAGACATAAACAGTCTTTGAAGCACACAACACCTTAAACTCAAAAAGTGGTGTTACCACTACTTGGGAAATTAATTTCACATTTTCAAACAGAGGTATATCACTTCCTCTGTATGGGATGATTAAATGAGAAAATTATTTTAGAGTCAGCTCCACAAGTCCACTAACACTTTCAAGGCATGTTGCAAATGTAATTCTCTACAAGAGCAAGACTATTTAAGTCATGCAACTGCATAATTAAGGTCTCTTCTGGTTCATCATTAGTAGAAAATAAATAAGATTAAAACATGACTGATTTTTATCTACTTTTTCTACTTTGACACCTGACATTTTTTGGTAACCTTTAATAAAACAGATAATAAAAAGGAAATGTTTTGTTCCCCTTTTCAGTAATAGCCATTGCTAATTTCCATTACAAGTGGTTTTCCTCAGGCTTTGGAAAAAAAGAATTGCATTGATAATAAGTAATTTATTTCTGGGAACAGTAAAACCTTGACTTTACAGTTGATAATAAACAAGCGAATATTTTCCTTTAGCAAGAAAAGAATTGAAACATCAAAACGACCTCACAGTGGAAACCTGACAATTACCATTGATGAAAAGTGGGGGCTTTTTCTATAAAAAAGTAGGAGCAAATCCTCTAGATACGGGAAAAATGCTAAAGCTGTTTACAGGCACTTGTGTACACAGTGAACGAATAAAAGACATCTTGACATTGAATATCAATCCAAAACCAGAAAACTAAGGCAAGCGTCTTGAAAGCAAGTCAGCGGTGGCCAACTGATGTCCAAGATCACTTTGCCACCTAGAAGGTAAGTAGGAAAAGGTAGATCTTCTGGTAAAGCATTGTGCAGCAGGAAAACTATGACATTGTTGCTATCATGAAAATGTGATGAGATGACTTGTACAACTGAAGTGCTGCAATGGATGGCTATAAACTCTTCAGAAGGAATAGGTAAGGAAGGACAGGCGGCCCTGTAGATTAGGGAGTGTCTCAACTATCTAGAGCGTGGTGATGGTGACAACAGGGTTGAATGTTTAGGGGTCATAATCAGGTGGAAGGCCAACAAAGCATACATCCTGGTGGAAGTCTGTTATAGTCCCCTCAAACAGGATGAAGAGGCAGATGAAATATTCTGTAAGCAGCTGGGAGCAGTCTCACGATCACTAGCCCTTGTTCAAAAAAGAGAGTTTATGACCTTTGGAAGAAGGGGAGGGCAACTCAGAAGGACTACGAGGATGTTGTGAGGTTATGCAGGGAGCAAATTAGAAGGGCCAAAGCCCAGCTAGAGCTTAATGTGGTTGCTGCCATACAAGACAATAAAAATGTTTCTATAAAAACAGTAGCAACAACAGGAGGGCTAAGAAGAACATCCATCCTTTATCAAATACAGGGGGAAACATAGTGTTAAAGGATGAGGTAAAGGTACTTCTTGCCTTCTTTGCCCCAGTCTTCAAAAATAAGACTGGTTATACTCTGGGTACCCAGCCCCCTGAGCTGGAAGACAGAGACAAGGAACAGAATGAAGACCACATAATCCAAAGGGAAATGTCAGCAACCTGCTACACTACTTAGGCACACACAAGTCTTTGGGTCCAGAGGGGATCCATGCAAGAGTACTGGGGAAGTTGGTGAAAGTGCTCACTGAGCCACTCTCCATCATTTACCAGCAGTTCTGGCTAACCAGGGAGGTCACAGTTGACCGGAAGTTAGAAAACCTGATGCCCGTCTACAAGAATGGCCAGAAGGGGATCCAGGGAACTACAGGCCTGGTAGCTTGACAGGTCCAGGGCAGTGATTGCCCTCAATGGCCTTGAGTTATGCCAAGGGAGATTTAGATTGGATATTAGGAAAAGTTTCTTCATCAAAAGGGTTGTCAAGCATTGGAACTGGCTTTCCAGGGAAGTGGTGGAATCACCATCCCTGGAAGTATTTAAAAGATGTGTAGATGTGGTACCTATGGACATGGTTTAGTGGACTTGGCAGTGTTAGATTACTGGTTGGATTCAATGATCTTAAAGGTCTTTTCAAATCTAAACAATTATGTGATTTTATTCTATAATTCATGGCAATGTTAGCTTCACAAAAGTACCGATATGTACATCTCATGCACATACACAGCTGCTTAGGGCTGTGTTGCTCCAAATATCTGATATGGTCTAGTGTAGCGAAGGATAAGGCACAGAAAGAATACACATATCCACTTTACTAAGCTTGTGTTATGACTACTCAGCCACATCCCATGTCTTCCTTATCTTAAACAAAAAATATATTGGAGCAATTATGCAGTTTGCTTCTTGAAAAGCGAAGTACAACAAAACAGAGCCAAAGTAGAATATTCCATTTTAACTGGGGAGAAGATTGTTAAAAATGCTTGGTTTTCAGCTTTTCATCTGGCAGTTCTGAAACATACATATTTTCTCTCAATTTCAACATCTGGAGGAAGCCAGGAAAGACCTCTGACTTTGGTGTCTACTACAGCAAGATGACTTCCAAAATAAAATATGTATTACACTAGGTTCACAATGCCTTTTGTCTCCAACAATAGACTGTTAATAGATTTTTCTAAAAAATCCCCACCAAAGCCAAGCCCAACAATTGTCTGCTTTGGCACCTCTTCATTATTACATGTTCATGAGCTGCAAAGAGACACATTTTACTTCTGGACAACCTGATAAGTCTCAATGGTGTTACGTAACAGAGACAGTAACAAAGACTCCCTAAAAATTTCCTCCATGTGTTTATTTCACATCTCAAGTACCAGCAGGGCAGATACCTGGGTAAAGAGAGCACTGGAGAACTTAATATATAAATCTTCCCATTTGAACTACCACTGCTGCTATAGAAGTTGCTGGGGACATTAAATTAAGAACAGGAGTCATTTTAGGGTAGTGTAGGAGACTATTTCCTGATGCAGTGGGGATGTTAAGGCAGGCAGCCTGGATGGGATTCATACTCCTAGGAAATCAGAGCAGTGTTTTTGATGGGTAGACCTATAATCAGACCCATGTTTTCCTCCACACATCCCAGGCACAGGCAACCCTCTCTGCCTTCTGTCTTTCATTATCTGAGTTGAATGACACAGATACAGAGACACCCACTGTCCACCCCCCTATTCCCAGCCTCTCCTAGTACCACGCGCCAGAGCATGCATGGTGAGACAGCTAAAAGTGCAGAAGGGAGCAATTACATCCTATTTGATTTGAAGGTATTTCACTTGCTTGGCTTTTCTTAATATTTGAAGGAAGAGGTGGCACCATTTCTCATGTCACTCTCTGATGTGTATGGCCTATTCTCTAGTGGGCGGTATGTGGGAAAATAAAGAAAAGCCCAGGTGATGTGCAGCCAGCACAGGAATACCAAGACATGATGCCACACAGGAGTATATGCAATATCCAGAGCAGTAATCTAGGCTGTGGATGAGCTGTACCCAGTTTCCCTGGACAACCATTGTCTGCTCTATACACCCCCGAACCTGTTATGCCGGGCAACAGAAGAAGGATAACCATCACCTTTATTGATAGAATTCTACTGTAAAAAAATGTCATTAATAAGAGCATGAGTCTCACCTGTCCATCCCTCCCTACTGCCTTTCTATGACTCCTCCATGTCTACTGAAGTTCCGTGTGCACACGTACACTGAGCCAATATGGGAACAAAGCTCATTTTAAACAAATAGAAAAATATTGTGTATCAGAACCTTAGAAGGCTACACATGAAAAACTGAAGACCCAACTTAACCTTACTTTTGCTAATGGTTTCACCACTACCTTTTTTCTTAGTCCCAGCCTATATGCTGTTTATGCGTGAGGTTCTATAGTGACATCTGGTTTTAATACAGGGCTTTGTACCTCTAAAATTCCCGCTGGTATTGCTAACCCTCTCTTCAAATGGGGAGATTGAAACCTATCTCTGTCCCAGTTATCTGCTTCATTCCTTTCTTGGATGTTCCCATTCTGCTGCATAGTTCAGCTGCTGCAGAGTGGATAGTAAATATTCCAGCCCTACAGCTGCCTGGACATCTTTGCACTTTCTAAGACATCTCCTGGT